CTGCTTTCAGCTAAGATCCATCTAACATCAGCTACAATATCCCTAGTACCACGACCCCTTCTAAACCCAGCCTGGACTTCTGGCAGTTCTCTACTGACTAAATTTCCTACCTTGTTTAGATAGTGCCAATTTTCCCTAGCAGATTGTCTTGTCTCCCTCCCACAAAGTTACTGATGGACTCACACCTTAGACCGTTTATTTAGCAGTTCAACCTTTAATTGCTGTGTCACTAGAATGCTTTACCGCCTACTTAACCCTGACTTTATGGTCAGTAACATGATGTGGAAAAAGCATAAGTTTATATGATAAACTAAGTTTAAATCCTCATTCTACCCCTTAGTATTAAATTGGCTTCCACATCTTCTCAATCCAGCATTCTAAATAATGATATGTCATTCATAGTCTACGCAGTACAACCTGTTTGCCTGTAGATGACTTAGGGCCATCTACTTAGACTAGTGATCTGTGAAATAATCACAATATTAAGTTTTTAAATGTACCCTCTCTTTAGTTATCAAACTTTTCCTTTTCTCTTTTTAGGTGATGGAAGCTGTTTTGTTATTCAGCAAGATTTAGACTATGTCTTTGAGCTCACTGGAGCAGATTGTGACCCTGTGTACAAGGTACAGACCCAAAAGGAGACCAAGACTATGTAATTCTCACCCAGGATCTAAGGGTTCAAGGGAGTTGAATCTGGTCAAAACAGTTGATAATTTTCATTTAATAACTAGTGTGGTGTGATGGAAAGAAAGCAGGAGTTTAAGTTAAAAGTGAATTTATGATGTACTGCCTCTCCAGTTTGTCAAGTCATCTCTAAAATGAGCATAATAGTGAGATAAAGTATATGAAAACATTTAAAAAAATTTTATTATTTTGTGTGTGTATACCATCAAATCAGATCTGTCTGGTACAGGAGGAGATTGCCCCTCCTTCTCCAGCAGAGCACCTGGTGGATTTGAACTGTGAACTTCTGGGATTGCAGTGCAGCTTCTTGTCACTCAGCCACCAGAGCTCCCTGAAAACTTTTTGTAAATTTGAAACACCATCTAAATATCATTGTTGTTCTGAGTCATAGCATGTACTAGTGCCCATTACATCTACTTACACCCTGTGTGAACAAAACATTTCCTTGTCTCTCACCATCCTCACAGTTGTTATGTTTGAGCCCATTGTTACAGCTACAGTGTCAATCTGTCTTGTTGAAGATCTTCATTTCTTTCATATCCAAAAGGATATGTGCTTCTCAGGAATATATCTTAAGAATGCTGTGATTACACTTTTCCCGAAACATTTCCCCCCATCATTCCATTGTATATTCAGTACTCTTTGACATTACAATAATTCAAATGCATCAGTCCTTTTTTGGTTTTCCCTATTTATTGTTTGACTTTTGCATGAATATGGAGCAGTTGAAAACACTGTGGCTTGGGTCAGGTGCATCAGAGTCCTCAAACAGACACCTTTCTTTTTTAGCACCTTAAAAGAGGTGTTTTGCAGCACATTTGCCCAGTATAGTGTTATGCAGATGACACAACCTTGCCTGCTGAAACTGAGGAGGGCCTGAAGCGTTTGCTGCAGAAGGTCAAGGACAGTACTTCAATATGGATTGAAGCTCAACATCAAGAAAAAAATTATTCTCACCAGTGGGCCGATTGGCAGCTCCATGATAGGAGGAGACGAGATTGATATTATTAAGTTTCAGCTTACACAATTCCACCGTCAACACTCTTGGCACCACTAGTCAGGAAATCAAAAGACAGATTACATTGAGAAAATCTACTGTCAGGGACCTCTCCTGAGTCCTAAAGAACAGCAATGTCAGTCTAGAGACTAAGGTATGCCTGAGCCAGGCCATGGTATTTGCAATTACTTGCTATGCATCAGAGAACTAGACAATACCAAAGAGGACAGAAGAAGAGGTTGAGTTTGGTGCTCAAGAAGAGTATTGAACTTGCCAGGGACTGTCAAGAGAACAAGCATGCCTGTCCTGGAGAGGGCAATACCAACTTGCTTCTTGGAGGCAAGGATTTTGAGGCTCTGTCTCACAAACTTGAGCATGTTACCAGGAAGGACCAGTCTTCAGAGAAGGACTTCATGCTTGGAAGGGTGGAGAGACAGTGCAAGAGAGGAAGACCAAGATGAGATGGATTGACACAGTAACTGAGGTAATGAGAATAGGTGTGTCAGAGACAGTAAAATGGGCTCAGGATAGACCAGGATTCAAAGCTATTGTACATAGGGTCGTTATGAGTCCTAGTCAGTTTGGCATATAACAACAACAGTATATTGTTTGATTTCTGTCTCTCCTTCCCCCCATCTACTTCATTGCTTAAGTTTATTCTCAGTAATCAGTGTTTTGTTAAGAATAGACCTATAAATGACAGCCAAAAACTTTTTTCAAAGTATTTTTCTGTTGGTTTTAGGTTATCCCACACAATTTCAAAAATACCATAATTTTTATATGCCTGATTAGAATATATGAGATATCAAAATTATAGTCTTTTACTCTAGAGAACAAAAGTGTCAAACATACTGAAAGATTGCTTAGGGTTTTGTTTTTATGAGTGGGTAACCGTATACCCTTTTTTTTTTTCTTCTTGTGTACCGTTGAGTTGGATCTGACTGGCACAGAAGGAGATTGCCCCTCCTTCTCCAGCACACCATCTGGTAGATTCAAGCTGTGCACCACTGGGATTGCAGTGCAGCTTCTTGCCACTAGACTACCAGAGCTTCCTTACCATATACACTTTTATTAACTCAGTGGTCACTTGATAAAATTATTAGAGAATTTTAATGACTGATAACCTCCCATATATGCTTGCTTATGTTTTCTTTTTTAATTTATTATTAATTTCAGTGAAAATTTACAGAGACTCTGGATTTCCATTCATTCATTGTTGCACTTTTCTCCCCTCCCAACCCTCCCCCCAGTACACTACCCTCTTGGAAAAGTAAAAGAAAAATTCTTTCATTGGTTTACAATCCCTCCCCCCCAGGTCCACTCCACTATGCAGCCTTCTCTCTGGACTCCTGTCAAGACAAAAATACCTAATCACATATCCCTTTTAAACAGTTTTCTCTCTCATCTGTTTCAATGCAGGATACATTGTTGAACCCATCTTTCTCAGTCTCCCCCCAGGTCAGTCCTGTTTTACAACAGTGGCACCATGCAGTATTTGTCCTTTTGTGACTGAGATACTTCACTCAGCATAATGTCCTTCAGGGTCATCTAAAATGCTTCTCCACAGTTGTGACAGCACCTTGCTGCCTAGTTTGACCATCCCAGTTCTCCAGGCTAAGCCTCAATATCTTGCCTCTCACACATTGTGGAGGTGGGAAGCCAAATAGGGGGTTCAAGGCACCTGGGGCACCTATGTCATTTAAGTTCTAATTTACTGCTGCTTCTATGGGAATTGATTATAGATCAGAGTAGAATGAAATCATTGACAACTTCAGTATGTTCTCCATTTATCATGATTATGGTCAGTTACTGATCCTCATTGTCAAGGATTTTTATTTGCTCTATGTTGAAATATGTGCTCTGGTGGTCTAGTGGAGAGAAGCTCTGCTGTAATCCCAAAGGCATGTGGTTTGAGGACACAAGTTGCTCCACGGGAGAAGGATGGGCAGTCGCCTTCTGTGCAGTTAACTGTCTCTAAAAACCTGGTGCAGGGTCAGCTATGGGTCATTTCTGACTCTGTGGTACACAGCACACACACACACACACACGTTGAAGGCTGTAGTCTTTGATCTTCATCAGTAAGTGCTTCCAGACATTTTCACTTTCAGCAAACAAGGTTGTATCACCTGCTTATTAAAGGTCATCCTCCAATCCAGTACTGCATTCTTTTCCATATAGCCCAGCTTCTCAGATTATTTGCTCAGCATACAGATTAAATACTTATGGTGAGAGGATACAGCCTTGACACATGTTTTCTGATTTTAAATTATGTAGTATCCCTTTGTTCTTTTAAAACAACAGCACCTTGGTAGTGCATGGTCCTGCATGATCACAATTAAGTTACTTTCTCATTCTTCATAATGTTATCCATAATTTCTTATGATCCACAAAATTAAAATGCCTTTGCATAGTTACTAAAATACAAATAAACACCTTTCTGATAGTCTCTGTTATTTTACCAAGAACCATCTAACATCAGCATTGATACTCATTATTCAATGGTCATCTTCTGATCCAGCTGGTATTTCTGGCAGATCCAGCTTATATATATATGTACTGCTACACCCATTTTTAAATTATCTTCAACAAAGTAGTAATGATATTATTTTACTATTTCTATATTCTTTTGACTCATCTCTCTTTGCAATGAGAATAAATTAGCTATCTCCTCAAGTCAGGTGGCTTTGTTCCCAGTTTCCTGGCTTAGATACTGAGGGCTTCCAGAATTGCATTGTTCACTGAAAAAATCTTTATTGAAACCAGAACTCCCTGTCAGTTCTTGGAGTCAATGCCTTCAGTGCATTTTAAACTTCTTCCTCTAGCATTATCAATTCTGATTATGTGTTACCTCCTGAAATGATTTTACTATTGTAAAATATTTTACTGTAGAAAAATATACAGAATATTTTCTTCTTTTTTAAAATTAATTTTAATGAAAGTTTACGGAGACTTAGGGTTTCCTGTCATTCATTGTTGCACTTTTTTCCCTACCCACCCTCTCCCTGCCAATTCACTCTTCTTGAAAAGAAAAAGAAAAACTCTTTCAATGTTATGTAATTTCCCCCCCCCAAGTCCACTCCACTATACAACCTTCACTCTGGATTTCTATAATGACAAGAATACCCATTCATATGTCCCTTTTAAAAAGTTTTCTCCCTCATCTGTTTCAATGCAATATACATTATTCCTCCCCTCCTTTTCTGTTTTCCCTCAACCCTAATGTCAGTTCCGTTTTACAACAGTGGTCCTATGCAATATTTGTCCTTCTGTGACTGAGATATTTCACTCAGCATAATGTCCTCCAGGGTCATCCATTTTGCATAACATTTCATGAGTTCCTTGTTTTTCAATGCTGCATAGTATCCCATTGTGTGATTATACCAGAGCTTCTCTATCCATTCATTTGTTGATGGGCACTTGGGTTGTTTCCAGTTCTTTGCTATTGCAAACAAAACTACAATAAACATGGGTGTGCATATATGTGCTTGGGTGGCAGGTATGGTTTCTTTAGGGTAAATTCCCAGTAGCAGAATTGCTGGGTCAAATAGTATCTCTATTTGCAGCTTTTTGAGAAAGCACCATGCAGCCTTCCATAGTGGTTGCACCATTTTATACTCCCACCAACAGTGAAATAAGGGTTCCAGTTTCTCCACAACCTCGCCAGCATTTGATGTTTGCCGTTCTGTTAATTTTTGCTGTTCTTGCTGGGGTGAGATGATATCTCATAGTTGTTTTGCAGAAGTTTTTAAACAGAAAAGAAAGTATATTCTTTTATAGTTGAAAAATGCAATATTTGGACAAAAAGTAAATTATTTTCTTGAAATAAAAAAAATTCAAGTCTTAACATACTTCCCATAAACTGCATACTCAGCTAAAGCTGTATCTACTTGCTTATAAGATATAACTTAATAATAAACACACAAAACTTTATACAACAGATAT